GTCTCTAGACTTTTCAGCTTTTCAGCACTCTGGAGAGGTCACTGACAGCAGATTTTCCCAGTGTAATTCACCTTTGGATTTCCTGACTGTTGGTGCCAAGAGTGCTGATTGTGGAGTCAAGCAAGCTGTAACTGTTAACAACCTAAAGCTCTTCTCCATCTATTGTGGTGCTGCCAGTCGGCTCAATGGTATGAATCTTTGTCTTCTTGATGTTGAGCTTCAATCCATATTGAAGACTACAGCCCTTGTCCTTCTGCAGCAAGCACTTCAGGTCCTCCTCAGTTTCGCAAGTAAGGCTGTATTATCTGCATAACATAGGTTATTGATAAGTCTTCTTCCAATCCTGATGCCACATTCCTCCTCATAAAGTCCAGCCTCCCAAATGATTTGTTCTGCATATAGATAGAAAAGGTATAAAGACAGAACACATCCCTAATGCATTCTTTTCCTGATTTTTAACCATGTAGTGTTTTCCTGCTGTTCTGAAGACTGCTTTCTGATCCAAGTATAGGTTTCACATTAATACAATCAAATGTTCTGGGATTCCCAGTCTCCTCAAGATTAGCCAGTTTGTTCTGATCCACACAGTCAAATACCTTTGCATAGTCAATGAAACACAGATTCCTCTGGTACTCTCTTCTTTTAGTACAGATCCATCTAACATTAGCTATAATATCCCTAATGACACGGCCTCTTCTATACCCAGCCTCCACGTCTGGCAGTTCTCTGTTGATGTGCTGTTTTAGTATCATTTTCAGCACAATCTTGCTTTCATGTGATAGTAATAAAATTGTTTGATAATTTCCACACTCTGTCAGAATGAGAACAAATATAGTTCTTTTCTAGACAATTACATTCTACTACTTTTATCTTGATGATATTAAAGGAAGGCAGAGTGACACTCTAAAACCAAAATCCAAGCTCACTGCTGTCAGGACACCAACTCAAGGCCACCTTCCATGGCATTTTCAAGGCTGTCAGTCTTTATTTCTCATCTCTCTCCTATGGCTGTGGATGCACATTGTGACACTCTGGTTTCCTACCTGGTATGTTAACGTGTTGGGTCACCAGGATAGAGGTATTTGTGTGTCACATTGTGCATAAAGGTATTTGTGTGTCACACTGTGATTCCTAGACCTGTAGTTAAATATTCTACTTTCTGCTTACCTCTGAATTGACACAAGGCTTTTCTCAATTAGTTTTAGCAGCTTTGTACTGGGTTCCAGAACTTCTGCTTCTGAAATTATATTGATGAAACTGCTCCACTGTAGACTTGGGGTAGAGTTCTTAGTAGGGAGCTATGCCATGATTTGATCAGAAGCCCAGTCAACAGGAAGTTTCAACTAAGAGCTATTTTACAGTTTTGTTTAAGGACTTCTCAGTTTGGGGCAGATACATCACCCCAAGAATGTGAAAGTATCCTAATCTCGATCCTTAAATTAAAGAATGTGAAGATAATCTTAAATCTCTAATCAGCAGTTACTTTTCCCTGCTCTCAACAAAAATCTTCTTTAGTGATATATGCATATTTCTGAAAAAAAAATCCCAAACACCAAAAACCCAACTCCTTCAAATCAAACAAACAAACAAACATCCAAATTCATTGTCTTCAAGTTGATTTTGACTCATGGTAACCACGTGTGCCACGATATGGAGCGTCTCTGGAGGATTTTCTTGGCAATGTTCTTCATAATAGTAGAATGTTGTTGTCGTTGTTAGGAGCTATTGTGTACAGTTCATAGTGATTCTATGAACAATAGTTCTGAACCCTGTTCTGTCCTGTGCCATTTCCATGATCTCTGACACACTTGAACTCATTGATACAGTCAGCGTGTCATTCCATCTCACTGAAGGTCTTCCTATTCACTGGCTCTCCACCTTTCCAAAGAACAGATTCTCCTAGCAACATGTCTGAAGTATGAGATATGAAGCTTCTTCATCCTTTCTTCCAAAAATAACTCTGGATATCCCTTTTCTAAGATGTATCTATTTCTCCTTTTGACAGTTCATGAGATAGTACTCTTCTCCAAAGCCAAAATTCGAAGGCAACAAGTCTTCTTCTGCCACCCTTAGTCACTGTCCAGCTTTTAGATGCACAGCAAGTTACTGAAAAGATTGTAACTGGCAAGACCTTTTTCCCGTCATGTCTCTGGATGGGCATGAATATAAAGATTTAGTAAGTCTTTAGGTTAACAGAAATCCTACTATTGAAACTAGCAGAGCCTTAATTTTTGCATCCATTTATATTGCTGTTCCTTCTTTTTTTTTTTTTTTTTCAAGCAGAATCTGTTTTTTGCCCTGGACATAAATTCACAAAGAACAGACATATCTTCTAGAAATCTTAGTCTTAATGAGCCTAAAAATTTAGCAATATCCATGACTTTAATGCTTTTTCTTCTCTTTGGAAAACAAATACAATGAACACATTATGATTGTTATCCATTGCAGGACTTCTACACCTCATAGCATTCACAGAAAAGGGTAGTAAGTCTATTGCATGTCAAGGTAAATGGATGAGATCAACTGATTGGGAGGGATAGGGCTCTACCCAACCCCATTGTGGAGGGAATCAGCATCTCAGCTCCCCAGATACCCACTTCTGACTGAAGCATACATGCAGTGACTTGGCTGGTAAGTTATATTTTATTTATACTATATTTGTACTAATCTAAATTTTTGTATATGTATCTTGGAAGACAACATTTAACCTAGGTAATATATTAAGCTTTGCAATATTCCTGGGACATCTCTGCCCTAAAGCTATCCAGCTTGCTGTTTCCTGTTATTTTAGGGTGTAGGGGGCATGGCATTAAACTCACCTCTCTGGGACTTCTCATCACAGGAGAATGTTCTGAGGCAGAGCAGATGAACACTGGGCCTCTGAAAATCCCATTACCATCTAAGTAATTGGGAGTAAAAAGGAGTATTTGTTAGACTGGTATTTGTAGCCTGGGCCATGAAGTGTTGTACCTGAATGACCTAGTTAATAGGTTTGTGTAAGGAATCCAAGAAGACATTAAACCTTGTGGACTGAGATTATATCATGTTTCTCTCCCCGATTACAGCATTCACATGATTGCCCACTTTTAGAATAAAATCCATCTCCTCATCATGGCTTCCAGGATTGTACACTCTATGGTGCCTTTTTGTGTAATCTCATTCAATCACTCCATAAATATTGTTGCATTCCTAGAACAATTCAAATATCTGTGGGTATATATGTAAGAAATAGGAAGAATGTTTATATGATCCTTACGTTTACACACTATTTTGAAAAGAAAGAATAAAGTAATTATACATAGTGAATTGGTGGATATAATGAGAGCTTTGTAAAAAAGTAAAACTGGAAATGTTATGTTGTTTGTGGACCATCAGATTGGGAACTGACCCACAGATGAGCCTCCGGCAGGTTTTCAGACACAGTTTAATCACATAGGACGAGATTGCTCATCTTTCTCCCACAGAAGAGCTATTGGATTTGAACCACAAGCTTTTGGAATTGCAGTGCAGTTTCTTACCACTAGGCCACCAAATCTGCCTGGAGAGGTTATAGGAGATTTGGAATACCAGCAGGAATGATGAGTGTAGCTTACTGCAGGGGTTAAGGGTCAGCAACTTTTTGTCTATCAAGGAGCAAACAGTGATTATTTTAGGATTGGTAAGCAATGCAGTTCCTGTGGCCACTATTCAAATCAATTTTGTAGCCCCAAGGCAGCCCTAGATAATGTAGAAGTGGGTGGATTGCTTCCAATAGAGCTTTCTTTAAAAACAGAAGGAAACTGGGTAGATCTGATCCATAGACTGCAGATGACAGTGTTAGTCACTGCAGAAAATCTAAGGAATGGAGATTTGGGATCTTTTCTATTTTTACTCCATTATACTTGCTCCCAGCTCCTGGTCATCTTTATCCCTATTACTTGGACCCTCCCATGATTAGCTGTTCTCTGTACTCAAAACACTACTCAAGTTATTTATTTTTCTCTTTTTTCTTACTCAGTATTAAATGTCACCAAATTGAATGACATCTTTTCAGATATTTCCTGGAAATCATATCCAAAGTGGCACTCTCAACCCAATTTACTCTCTTCCATAGTTTTGTATCAAGTATAGTATTTATTTATTACCATGGGAAAATATTTCATTTGTATGATTGTTGACAAGATTTGTTTCTAGTTTTCTCTATGAAGAGAAAATTCTAGGGATAATTGTATTATAATCATCATTTTGCGGGCCACATAAGTGAGGCATAGGCATTCCCAAAGCAGAAGACAAAGGCCAGGCCTTGGTCTCCAGAGCCAGCTCTTGTGTGCTTCTATTAAAGTCTCAGCTGAAGTGAACAAGTTTAGTAATTGTTGTCTAGTTCATGCATAAAAATAATCTAGTCCATTTTTTATATTTCCAAAATTTGCTATTACTGGATAAAATCAACTCATGGACAGCTTCATTTAGCTGTGGAATGGGATGATGGAATAAGTGAAAGTATCTTGTCCATTATATCACATTTCTAGTATTTCCATACTCCTAGTCTATTTGCATGTCAATATTTGTGTTACAATATTTTTATTATTGTTGTTGAATACCATCAAGCTGGAACCTACTCATAGTTGACCGTCTAGTGGGTTTTCAGTGGCAGTAAATCACACAAAATGAGATTGCCCATCTTTCTCCCAGAGAGCAGCTGATAGATTTGAACCATGTGTCTTGGAGATTGCAGCACAGCTTCTTACTACTAGGTCACCAGAGCTTTCTATTACTGTCTGATTTTTAAATACTCCTTAATAGTTGTTCCATGTAATGGTGAGTAGCTTCATTCACAGTGGACCTGAGAGTGGTAAGGTAAAAAGATAACATTTCTTTTCTCTGTTACTGATTTCAGCTGTGAAATTCTAAGACATACCACCTATTCTAATAATGCATACCGCCAATCTGATATTGAAAGGATGTTTGCCAAATAGAGATCAAAGACACTCAGAGGTGAATAAATCTAGAACAGGCTTTTTCAGTCTCTTGAGCTTTTTATTTGTTATAAATACAAGTCAATACCACAAGATGGCACCTTCTTACTTTCAACACCTATGATTACAAACAATTATCTCCATAAAATGGTCTGTTTTTAATGTACTGTTTTAGATAATAATTAAAACATTATAAAAGCAAGACTTTCTACAAACAGGATCAGTGTTTGATGTATATTAAATGAGGTCAGATAATTAAATAAAAAGAAGAATTTATAAATACCCAGATAAGAAAATTGAAATTAGAAAAGCAGAGTTTCCGTCATTAAACTGAATTACAACTGTGTAGGACTAATGCTCTACTTACGTGGCTAAATTTTTATTAAAATACCATTTTAGTACTCCAATAATCTACCTCACTCTCCAATTTAACCACCTATTTCATCTGTATACCTCTAACATTCAATGCATTATTTCCATCAAGACCCACCTAGCTTTCAGTCCAGAAATTATGCACACTCTAACATTTTTAATTGCTACAATTCACCCATGAAGTGCCATCCACCCCAGTTACAAAATAAAATATAATATTTAAAGGTAAAAACTCAGAGAATTTCTGAAATGGCAACCCATTCTCTCTGTGTTCATGAAAATAGGCAATCCAATTTGAAAGTTTTTGAACCAATGTAAACTCTAGAAAACTCAGTGTTGAAATATGGGAAGAAAAAAGATGTGCACTAATATAGTGCGTAACGGTGCAGTGTCAGACTCATCATTGACGGTAAATGCCTTGAATGGACTTTCCTCTGGATTGTCATCATGCTGCTGAAGATAAAGTTTACTCAAGTCTGTGAGAATCCCATCATGGTTCCTTCCTCCCATTTCCAAACAGGAAGAGCAGGGCTTTCGGGTCCCTTGGGGAAACCAAAAAAATTACAAAGGAAAACACTCACACCCACAAACAACTCTGAAACAAAAATGGCAGACCTATTGATCTTTGACTCCACATCCAGGAAGTTGAGGCAAAATTACTTTTGCGAGATTTGCATTCTGCCTGGTCTATCACATCATGAGATTCCTCAAAAAACTGAGAAGTCTGAGAGCTACAAAAGAGAAAGCGGTTAAGGCAGTTGATGTCTACATTTGGATTTCTTTTTCGGGTTACATGTCTAAATCTCCATCGTAGGCTAAGGTCAGAGGCTTCTGTTGGGGAGGTGTGCTTTGATGTGGTTTTGGCTTCTTGCTGCAAAGAGAAAAGCATTCATCAGGTAAGGAAGGTCACAGAGCTGTTTTATGACAATGCACATGATTAGGCGGGCTTTTCTCAGGGCTTCTTTTTAGAATATTTATATATTTTTAACTTGTTTTCAGGAGGAAAGCATCTCCCCTAAGCCCCTAAATCTTAAGACATGCTTAGTGAAACAACGGACCTAATAGATAGGCTTTTTTCCATTCATGGTTTTGCTTATCAGCAAGGAGGTGGGCATCTGCTAATCACTGATTGCAGCTATTGTGACCTCTGCATCATTGAGGATTAACATCATCTGCAATCAGGACAGCCAGACTCTTTTGCTCTGCACTCCTCTTGTGTTTAATAAACACAGTTCTGCCCTATACTGAAAGCTGGCATCAGCTGCTACATCACCAGAAACTTTGCCGGAACAGTTTGACCTGTTCTGCTGGGCAAAGCCATTGTCACCTATAAACTGCTTTTCGCGGGTCAGGGAGCACTGCCATTCCCTGCGAGGGAGGCTGCCAGTGAATGCCAATCCTAAGTAACAGCTCAAATCTGGGGCAAAACACTGCGCATTACACGCCTAGTTTCCTGTGAGCCTTAAATTTTGAGCTGTGGTGCTGGAGAAGAGTATTGACGGTACCACAGACTGCTAGGAAAACAGATTCATCCTGGAAAGGGTAAAACCAGGCGACTCCCTGGAGGCAAGGATTTTGACGCTCCATCTAACATACTTTGGTCATGTTGTAAGGAGGGACCAGTCCTTGGAAAGGGACACCATTCTTGGGAGGGTGGAGGGACAGCGCAGGAGGGGAAGGCCCTCTAGGATGTGGATTGATTCAGTGGCTGGGGTAATCGGATGGGTGTGTCAGAGACTGTGTGATTGGCACAGGAAAGAGCAGAGTTTAGGGCTGTTGTACATAGGGTCGCGACTCGACAGCACATAACAACAACAACAACAACAATATTTATACCTCCAATCTTTCTCTTCTTCACCTCAACTCAGTAGTTCACCCTCCAGGGGGTTTTCCCCGAGGCTGTAAATCACTGTCCATCTTTCTCCTGTGCAGCAGCTGTGCCCTTCCTTCTCTGTTATTCTTTCTAAACCCAGCTCTCTGTGAACCCATCTTTATCAGCAGGGGGGCGATCTTTATCTTTGCCCCCAAATTTCTGGATTTATTTTATTGTTGTTGTTGTTCAGTACCATTGAGTCAGAACAGAGTTACAGTGGACCCTCCAGCGGGTCGTCAGAGGCAGTTAATTCCATGGGAGGAGACTGCCCATTCTTCTCCCTTAAAGCAGCTGGTGGCTTTGAACCATGCACCTTCGAGATTAGGATTGCAGGGCGGTTTCTTACCATTAGGCCACCAGAGATTGCACACATGCTAAGTGTTCTAAAGAAATGATCTCAGCAAGTTCCAGAACAGCACTACAAGGTGGACATTAGGATTTTTACTACTTTCTGGATAAGGACTTGACCAGACACCCTTGAATAGATTCCAATTCATGGCAACACATATATATCAGAGAAGAACTCTGCCCCCCCAGGACTTCAGTGGTAAATTCTGCCAGAGCACATCCCTGGGCCTCTCTTCCAAAGTGCCTCTGAGTTGAACCTACAGTGTTTCAATTAACAGCTGAGCTTAACAGCAGTCTCCACTACCCAGACACTGCGGCCAGGGACTAAGGAGACTAATCAACTTTCCTCTCCTTGCTGAGCGAGAGTTGCAGCCTGGAATCTAAGACAGTCTAAGATAGAGATCCAAGCTTCTAAACTCTCCCTTGCGCCCCCCATTTATCTATGCCATTAATTTGACAGCTGGTAGATACTAATTCTTTTTAGTCTGTATATATACATTAATTTCCATCCTGAGCAAATGCAAATGAATGTTAATATAAAAAACACCCCATAACAGTTTACAATACACATTTCAGAATACCCACAATGTATAACCATATCCATTATCTACTTCCACGCTATTTTCATTATTACAAAAGGAAGCTCCAACCCCAATCAGCAACACCCCCTTTTCCTCTACTTTCTCCATTTCCCGATAACTACAACAAATCTGTTTTCAGTTACTATGGTTTACCTATTCTAGATTATTTCATAGACACAGAATCATACAGCCCTGTGCATTTGACTTCCCTCCCCCCGCTTAACATAATGACTACAAAGGTGAACTGTATCTTACTAGAATGTTATACCACAATACAATTAAAAACAATGTGTTTGGTAAAATTACAATGGAAATAGAATTCCCTAATTTCAAATGCCCATGTTCTAGCTAAAGAGGAAAAATTAATGTGATCTGAGGTTTGTAGCAAATTACATAAGCTAAATAAATCAATAAAATGTGATTTTAACAAAGCAAAACAAAATACAGGAAGCACTAAAAGGAGCCAGAAAAAACCCTATTAGTGACTCACTTTCTAAGACCATGCAGGCAGGGACAGCCCCTGGGGATTCTACACACAGCGGTGCTTCACAGGTAGAGTTTCTGCCTCCCATGCAGGAGACCTGAACTTGAGTCCCAGCCAGTTTATCTCATATCCTGGCACTACCCTTCTGTTAGGAAGCCCTGGTGGCCTAGTGGCAAGAAGCTTAGCTGCAATTCCAAAGACACATGGTTCAAGTCCAACAGCTGCTCCGTGGGAGAAGGACAGGAAATCTCTTCCTGAGAGAGAACTGCCTCTGAAAACTGGCCTGTGGGAGGGTCAGCTATGGGTCAGTTCAGACTCAATGGTACACCACAATAACAACCTTTCTGCGTGGAGCTCTGGTCGCCTAGTCTGTATAGTTTCACTGGTAACCCAAAGGCCAAACCTCTTTGGGGTGTGGGGGCTAATGAGCTCAAGAGCTTTAAAGCTTTAGAAACTGCATGGGAAGCTATGAATTGGTTCTGACTCAACGACAGTGAGAGAGACAGAGAAAAACACACACACACACACACACACACACACACACACACGATTGAGCAAATGAGAGAGAGAGCCCACAGCCTAGGAGAGACCTTAGTCTTCTTGCACGTTGTGATGATGCTAAGAAGGTTGCAGTGGAGTTTCTAGATTAAGATAGTTCAGTAAGAAAGGTCTGGTGCTGTTCTTCTAAAAGTCATTCAGTGAAGACTCTAGGAACCCCAACAAATCATGAGGATGGCTCAGGACCAACAACCAGTTGGGGCCTAGAGAGCAGCTAACAATAACAGCTCATAACCTACAGCTGAAAAGCCAGAAAGGTGCATATGTGAGTGAAGATTCTCTGTTGAGGAATTCTTAGCTGAGTTCCTTGGCAGTCTTCAAAAGGGCTCCTTCATGATTATCTGAACAGCATTCAACTTAACTTTCTCTTTACTTCTATATTCCAATAGTTTTCATTATTTCATTATTTTCATGGACCCTGATTCTCCCACGGAAAACTGAACCCAGCCTGAAGTGAGGCCTGATCACATTAATCCACAGCACTTCAAGGGATTAAAGAAAGTGCACAAAGAGGCTGGGATCACAAAGCAGGGACTGTATGCACATGTACTGTGGCAGGAGAATTGATGGGGGAGGGTGTCTGAATGTCAAAAACATAAAAATGGAAAGACACAAAATGCCTCTTTGCTGATTTTTTTCAGAAGTGGTAGAAAAGGAAATACGTTCATGGTTTTAAGAACAGTTTTTGGCATTTTGTCCTTAATTGGCATCTCCAAGGTCTCTAAGGCCCTAGTGGCACAGGAGTTAAAGCAGTTCACTGCCAACTGAAAGGTCAGTCCTTTGAACCCAGCAGTTGCTCTGAGGTTTTGCTTCTGTAAATACTCAGAACACAAATACTCATTAGCATCAAGTCAGAACTGATTCATAGTCAACCCTCTCGTATTTCTGAGGCTGTAAAATTCTATGGAAAGTGACTGCTCATCTTTCTCACAGGGAGTCACTAGTGAATTCCTACAGATAGAGGGGCACATGGCCTGTGGGTTAGCAGTTCAGCTCTCCGTGGACGAGGCTGCCAGGTCTGCCTTCCACAGAGACTTCTTATTGAGCAACGTCTAGTTGGAAATGACCCATAGCTGCCCCTCAAGCAGGTTTTCAGAGGCAGTAAATCACATGAGAGGAGGTTATCCATCCTTCTCCAGTGGAACAGCTGGGGATTTGAATCCCGTACCTTTGGGACTGCAGCGCAGCTTCAAACCTGGCAATCCTATGAGTGAGTTCTACTCTCCCATAGATTGCTATGAGTCAGAACTGACTTGACTAGATTTTTTACTGGGCCAAGTGTTCCATGGGTAACACTAACAATTGGCAAAGTGCTGGCCTACTAACTGAAAGACTGGGGTCTCAAACCCACTCAGCGTAGGTTAACGAGAAAGGTCTGGTGATCTGCTTTTGAAAGGTTACAGCATGGAACCCAGTGTGTGCTGGCATACTAGGTAGTTCCACTGGTCAGAACGGATGTGGTGACAACTGGCTCTGTTTGATTATCAGGTAAAGAGACATTAAAAAGTTTTAGTTCTTAGAAGTATGAAGGTTGAGAATGAGAATAAGGAGGGATCGAGAGAATAAGATAAAGAGATAATAGTGATGCCTTGGAAGTCAGGCAAACTTAGCTAGCCTGTGTGAGCTGTGTTCAAATGATGCACAGATGTTCCCAGGTATGGAATTATGGACACTGTCATTTTCGTAAATAAATAGGGCCTTGGATCGTTCTAGGATGTGGGGTGTATTAGGGATCATAGTTATGGAAGCCTCTTTGTGGGTAGATGCTAAAATTATAACAACAAATGTGTGATACTTGTGAACTTTTGTGGACTTTAAAAGATAACAGCTTTTAAAATGTTAGTAATCGTTTGGAATAAGACAGTACTTTTCTGGGTAGCTGTGGCTCGAAGAGCTTCCACACACTCCTGGCACCTAACACACCATGACCAGCAGTCATCTGGAACCTCTCGCACGCATCCCTAATCCATCATGCCAGTCTTTCTTGCTGTGCTGAGATGCAGGCTCATAAGGCTTCCTAATGGAGC